AAACCACAGATCAATACCGTTAGGATTATAGAGTTTGCTGCAAGGATTCTCCACATAAAATTTGGGTCGAAACTGACAACGTTTGACCACCGATCGTCAAGCAGAAAACTCAGAAACCTTACTTTCTCTCTCTATTTCTCTCTGCACGTCGTCGCTGTTCACTGTGCACGTACGCTGCACGCTGCACGCTGCACCCTGCTCTGCATTTTCTCTGCATGCCTTACTTCACCTTAATTAGTGATTTGGGCTCAATAGACCCAATTTGTCCAAGCCGACATATGGGCTGGACCCAACAGAAAGAGGGGTGTTGATAATTTAGCTCCAGCTAAATAGCACTAATGCTTAAACTGGTCCTTCGTCGACATAGTTGGGGATTCCTGCGGTTTCAGTACCATGAAAAATCCCCCCTTTCTCGTCTATTGCAGGAGGAGTGTGATACAAGGATAAAAGAGAGAGCTGCGGAACTGATGGAGCAGATAAGAAGCATGTCCAAGGATCCTACTGACATCTTGCGAACTATGAATTTGGTCGATTCAATCCAGCTTCTTGGATTGGATTATCACTTCGAGAAGGATCAGTGAAGCTTTACCATGGGTTGGATTGGATCATCACTTCGGCAAGAGTCTTGGACCGAACGGGTTCATTGTCTAATTTTACCATGGGTTCTAGAATGAATTGAAAGTCCTGATTCATTACGTATTATGTAGCTTTCACAATGAATGCTACATTTTACCTAAAACCCACATTTTGCTCATTCCCAAAAATATCAATGCCACCATGATCATAGATTATAGACCCTTCACCCTTTGCAACATCATTTGAAAATAATATCTAAGTTCTAGCCAATAGACTTAAGGAAAGGCTCCTCTCGTTCTCCTAAAGATTAACTTGGAAAAAAGATTTTGACACATTCTCCTGGGAAGAATCATTCTTACCCTTTGGAAAAGAAAATTTCCATCCAAATTCAGCGATTGGATCTAGGCTTGTATCCTATCTCCTTCTTTCTCTTACTTCATTAATGGTAAATTTTCCCTCGGTTTAAAGGGAGGAGGGGTGTGAGACAATGAGAGCCTCTTTCTTTCTATCTCTTCATCATTATACAACAAATGTTCTCTAGTCTTATTGGATCTTTTATTTCCCGGAGCAAACATACAAAATCAAAGGAATTATTATTATCTCACATCTTATATTTGTCAGTGATGTTTTGCTTGCATTTTTGTTTAGCTCTATATCTTATGCTAATATTACTTCAATTTCTCAACTATAATATGGGGGAATTGATTCCCAATCCTCTTCTTTTAAATACAACATGTCTTGAGACTCTTGGAATATGTTTACTCTTATTTCTAATACTGTATAGTAATTTCTTTTAAAAGAAAAAGGGTGGCTGAGAAATTGATTGCACTACGATTAAAGCACATGATACTGTAATAGTGAAAGGATTAGCAATTCTTTTGAAGCCGTAAATATGCTTCATCTAACATGATCAATTGTGTAAACGGCTATACATACGCATCTGATTCCTAGATAGCAATTTTTGAAGCCCTAAATTTTACAGAGCAGGAGGGCTTAAGCAAGATTTGGATATGCTCTGATTCTGCTGTCTTGACTGATGCTACCCTTCGTACGAGGCTGAAGGTTGTCGAGTTCGGCTTCATCCCCCACGCAACTTAATACTTCTGCTCACAATCATCTTTTTTTTGGTTTTGGGAAGGCTAATGAATGTGACAGCCTTGCCGAGCAGCTGTAACTCTCTTTCTTTAAGTGCTAATTCATTCTCTTTTTCTAAAAAAATAAAAATAAAACTGTATCTGTAGCTGTAGCTCACATTAAGTCCAAATGTACATCTCACTTGAGGCTGCAGTTACAGGTGACTCCCCGTATTGAAGTCATCCACCACAGAGAAGAGATAAGCACATCTACGTGTTCGCCGACGTGCGTCAAACACGAAAACAGACTCACAAAGTATTTATTTGAATACTTGTATTTATTTGATGGAAACACGTATTTATTTGAATTTGAGGCAAGTAAAATCCAACATGTTTTGAGTATAATTTTTCTATATTAAGTAAAATACAAATCTGATCTTCAAGTTGAATTCCAACATGTTTTCTTTTATTTAAATATGTTAAATATAATTTAAGCACATAAGATGAATACATATCGATTTTTAACTTATTTAAGTTTAAGATTTAAGTCAGGAAAATAATCCTTAAATATTTAGAAGTAAGATTGTATATCCCGATCACACATTGGTGAGAGCTTTTGAGTACATCCTTTTTTAATTTAAAATTAGCTAATTATTATTTAAATATTTAAATTGGATTCGAGTATATACTTTTAATTAAAATCCAATTGATCTCATTGCTAAATCACAATTGAATTATATAGTGTGATAGATTTATTTCTTCATTATTAATGGGCTAGTAGGAGGAACATAACCTCACACCGGTCCCCTTTCACGTAACCATCATAGTTTCATTGAGATTGATGGAGCTAACAAAGAACCTTATATGTTAGTCATGGACCACCATGAGGAATACGACCTCAGACTCTCTGTGACGGGGCCATGTGTGGATGCAATCGTTTTTTTCGTCATAGGAAATTGACAGACGATCGATGAATGACAAAGTGGATAGTTGTGGCTAAGAGTTGTTTTTCTACTACAACTACCGAATGTTTTTTCTTATAAATTCCAACACGAGGCAATAGGCTCTCGCCACCTCCCGGGTTTAGTTTCCACGTAAAAAATGGAGACTATGGGATTGCAGTCACTTGGTCCAGGTGATGAGGTTGTGGTTCGCAAGTCTGCAGGCTTTCATCCGAGCGTGTGTGGAGACTACTTTATCATGTTATACCACTTGACGATATCAGATTAGCTGATAACAAAACATTCGATGAATAGTATATACGCAGAAGATTTAGATGATCTAATAGTACATACACCCAGATTTAGATAATCTCCAAAACGTTCAATGAATGGTATGTACACAGCAGATTAGCTGATAACAAACCTGACGATTAATAGTAAGGCCATGAAATCAAATCCCGTTTGCTAATGGTGAAAGAAAATAAACCCTATTGAATCTACATTGCTTAGGTCATAGGTTAATGATGGCATAAATATATCATTATAGATTCAAATAATTCATAGATTTAAGTTTATCCCATGTCGGCCTCGCCAAGCATATGAGAGCATCGACATGTGGGCAATCAACTTCCAAATCCTTTCATCTAAAAATCTCATGTGAGCTTTTTTTATTTATTTTTGTATGTTGACATATTTATATCAAAGAGACGATCCCTCGTGCGCCTTCTTTGAAATTAGCAATTGCTGCTTTAGTACAATGCCGTGCAACCAACCATACACATCCACATGTGGGAAAAATATTTGAGAATTCTATTACTGAAACTTGATTACTCCGAACAACAAAATCTATAGATTCCTTGGTTATATCTTAATCTTAACAACAAATCAAAATGATCTTAATATCTACTTTGACAGGATTTGGAATTCCTCACTCAGTCTTATGCTCAAAATTGGTCCCAAACACCTTCTCTAGCATGAACCCTTTTGTGTTTTAATTTTTCATTATGTTATGCCATGTTATTTTTAATTAATTATTTTATATATCCTTGCATACGGCACAATGTGATTGCAATTAAATATTACAAATAACTATCTCAGGCGACAAAATCCTGACATTGAACTTGGCAGTAGGTGTTGCGGCAGCATCTTGAGTAGGTGTTGCGGCAGCATCTTTTTGAGAGGGAAGCCATCTTGAGTAGGTGTTGCGGCAGCATCTTTGTGAGAGGGAAGCCATCTTGAGTAGGTGTTGCGGTAGCATCTTTGTGAGAGGGAAGCCATCTAGAGAAGTCACGAGGCACGAAGAGAAACTTACTTGGTGATTGATGCGAATAAAACGAGAATTATTTCTTTGAACTAATCAAATTGGAGGTTTGATGATTGAATGAAGATGAAGCATCCCAAAATGAACCAACGCATATGAGTGGATCACTCCTACAAGAATATGTAGATAGGATTTGAAAGAAATTTAACCCTTTAAAGCAAAAAAGAGTTCCATTAATACACACATGGAAAGAATGTTGAAAGTCAAACTAAAGTTTATATAATATTATTTATAGTTTGAGAGTGAGTAGGCTGACATGATGAGTTTGACACTGTTTAGAGTTTATTATAAAACTTAAGTTAATATACGATTATATACATGATTTATAGTTTCTATTACGAGAGTGGGAGCAAAACTAATTATATCTCGTCTTTTTCGTATATTATTAGAAGCAAAACTAATCATAGGACGTCAATTAAAGATGATGGATAAGCTAAAACTTAAGGCAAGCCAAAAGGAGCGTACAGTCCCTGATGACTCATTCGTTATCTTCTTTCTCATAAAACGTGTTACTTACGAAACCAAACCAGATTTAAGACTATAAATTGCTACACAAGGTTGCAGGCTCCCGCCATCCTCTCATAACTTGCATCCAGATCAGAATGGAGAACGTAATTTCGCAGCCACACGTTCCAGGTGATGAAGCGGTGATTCGCAAGTCTGTAAGCTACCATCCCACCGTTTGGGGTGATTACTTTATCTTACAGGCCCAGTCCTCCCCCAGTACACAGGCATGTATATACACATATATCTCACATATGTTCTAAGTTTTAGGCAAGAAACTCTCCGAGAACGAATGGTGTTAATGTTTCATTAACATGAAAAATGTGCGGATGCTACTTTCTTTCGGTTTTGTTGGTTGAACAATTAATTGCTATGCTATGGAGGATGCAGGAGTGCGATGCAAGGATGCAAGAGAGAGCTGCAGAACTGATGGAGCAGGTAAGAAGCATGTTCAAGGACACTACCGACATCTTGCAAACTATGGACTTGGTCGATTCAATCCAGCTTCTCGGATTGAGTTATCACTTCGATAAAGAAATAAGTGAAGCATTAAACCGAGTCCATGACGCCGATTTTAACGATCATGCTCTCTACGATACTGCTCTCCGGTTTCGACTGCTGAGACAACAAGGGTATCATGTGACCCCTGGTAATATGCTCTTACGTTTCCTTGCAGTAGATGTATTTTTATGTTTTATCTATAATTATGTTTGCAAAAGTAATTTAATTTGTATTTTAGAAATGATCTAGGAGTTTTGTTTTAAGAAGACAACTTAATCAGCCCATCAAAAAAGAAGTCACTGAACAATCAAAACGTTTTGATCTCCTATAACAACTATATTAAAAAATGTACTTTGTTCTATATATATATATATATATATATATATATATATATATATATATATGTATATGTAT